TCTCGAGTGATTTTACGGCAGTCGACGGCAAGACGAGGGCCAAGAGGCAGAAGAGCAGGGCGAACCGCGCCCTTAACGTCGACGTTAAGGATGCCATCCCGACAATGGTTGTGGTGACGATGTGGAGGCGTGCAGGTACGAACAGCTGAAAGGCCACGCGGGCCGGCGCATGCGAAAAACCAGACCAAAGCGAAGACGGATTCCAAGATGGCGAGTAATGGTGGTGTTGTGTAGGTACCTATTTCCGGTCCAGGAGAAACGGCGAAGCGAGCTGAAAGGAAAATTGTAGGCCAGCGGATGAGCAGGGTCTCGAGAGCAATACTGAGAGCTAGAGCGTAAAAGGTGGAAGTCGAGAGCGGTGGCAGGGAAAGGCAGGAAAAGGCAGGAAAAGCGAATGAAATCTGCCCCCGGGGATGCAAATGCGATGCAGATTGCGATGCAGATTGCGCGCAGTGAAGATGCTATCAGACGAAGAAGCAAGACGGACGAAAGACGGACGGAAGACGGAAGAGGCGGGAGTGGCAGGACAAAATGCTGACGTTATTGAAGCACACTAGTGGCTTTAAGGATGGCGGGCACAAACAAGACCTGGTGCAACACTCACGACAATCGGCACAGCGCTTCGTCCGGTTCCATCACGCGGACTCGTGGCCAGAGGGTACCCGCGCTGCGTAGCGAGGTACGTTCTGGCCGGGAGTGAGCCAGGTCTCTGTACAGCGATGTCAGTATGTGTAGGGTACTTTGGGGGGGCACGCGTAGCAAGTATAGAACCTGGCGACGGGCGTACCCTCTCTCAGAGAAGAAGGCCGTGATCCGGGGGGCAACAGGTACCTGTACGCTAGGGGCCGCTACAGCGAGATAGCCTACCTGGACTACCTGGACTACCTGGATAGTGCGCAGAACCGCCGTACCTGTAACCACCTAAGTTAGCGCTGTGCACTACTTCTGTGTGCTTGTGCGGTCTTGTGCACTACCTGAATGTAACGCTCCTACCACAGGATAGAATCATCCATGAGATATGCCCGCTGCCTGGAAGCCCCCGTACCCGGTACCTGCTCCGCATCTGCATGCGCCGTGGCCGCACCCGTACCTGCTACCGCCGCGACCCGCATGCACCGCCTCCCTGCCGGCACCGCGCAGGTATCTCAAATCTGCCCGCCATGCTCATAAGCATAAGAGCAAGCATACTATTCATCGCACTAATCTCCGGCTCGTGAACACGGGGTTTTTTATAATACTAACCTGCCTATTCTGTCTACCATTTACAATCCTGACTGGAGTACGGGGTAATGAGCCATTTGTTACTGTATCGCATCTGCTTTATAAATACCTGTACCTACTTAATCCACCTGCGAGTCGAAGCTTTGCCACGAATGCGAGTATAAGTATAGGCCGTATTTGGCGTATACCGGGCATACCAAAGTACGGGTTAGAGGCAGATCATCAGATAAGTCCGAGTTATGCCTCTAAGTAGGGATTCCGTAGTGTAGATTTACACTTCACTACGTATGAGCCGTCTCTTGTCTAGACAGCGTGGCCATCGCCCTATCTATCTCTGAGACAGCCAGATCAACAGCCACGGGACGCCGCCCCTTTTAGTATTTCGCACCTTTACTGTAGCGTCGCATCTACACACTGACTGTTGACACGTCCTACAAATAGGTGGCGTGGCCGAGCAACTCGGTAGGCCGAGCCGCAGAGTAATAAACACGTTAGCCCGCTCTCGCTTAAACTAATCGGCTTCCATCTTTTTGCCGCTGCCATCCATCCTCCACCAGGACCCATAGGCTATGGCCCGCCACGAGCAATATAACAAAACGACGAGCCCGCTAACCGAGCCAATGATACGTGACCCTCGAGCTGGAAAAAAGAAAACCCCCAGACATCTCTGTCGTCAGCAGCCTCTTCACAAGCCTCGAGTAGGTAATTGGCCTTGAAGAGTGGAATCCATGTATGCCAGGGGGCGGGGAGCTGGCTGGGCTTGCGCCCGACGACGAGGTCGAAGATCGGGAGAACAAGCACCGTCAGACCGATGAGGACATGAAATCGTTGCCTGTTGCCCAGCCTACCAAGACTTACCACCCGTACACTAAGCATGTGATTTCCACGCCGCGTCTTCTCACGTTATCTAGACGCCGTTATTGACGCTCAAAGAGTAGGTACCCGTTGTAGTCGAGATACAGCAATAGGTTTAGGAGTATTAAGCCGTTTCCGCCGACCACTATGGCGGAATTGGGGAATTCCGGGCCGTGTCCACCCAATCTTCCTGCTTAGAGTACGGCACAAGCATCCGCGATTGTTATATCTACTAAGTAGATAGGCAGCAGATGATCCCGGTAGCAACTCGACAGCTTCGCTAACAACTCCCGTGCCCGCACTTATGGCAGGGGGCACGCCATTTAGCGTGTGAGTCAGGCCGACCGAGGAAGCCGTTGCGGGCTGACCTCAGGTTTTTAAAACAGCCTCAGTCCTCAGCAGACCGCACATAAGGAATCTCTTGCTACAATTGGCCCCGGAATCGACGGCGTTACCGCTTCACAATGGCAACTACGACATCCTTGACTACCGCGATCGAACTTCAGGGCCAGGGGCTCACGATATTGCAGCGTGAGCCCATTGAGGCCCCGAGACCCGAAAACGAAGGCGTCGATCCCGCCCTGGAAGCATCGCGCTTGGCCGACTTGGAGGTGCCCGACGGCGGCTACGGCTGGGTTATCGTAGGATCTTGTGCCATCGTATCGTGGTGGACAGTCGGCACTAGTTACAGCTGGGGGGTGATCCAGGGAGCACTGGTCGAGGAGGGACTATCGACGTCGGCGGTGCTCTCCTTTGTCGGGGCTCTCGGCCCCACGTTGCTCGCCGCCGTGGCCATTATAAACGCCCGCCTGATGCGCATCATCGGAGCTCGGTATACGGCAATGCTAGGCATTTTTCTCATCGGACTCGCCCAAATTCTGGCCAGCTTCGCTGTGGAGAGCGTCCCCGGCTTATTCATCACGGAAGGAGGATTGCTGGGCTTGGGATTCGGGTAAGCAAGCAGCGGAGACGCCTATTCAAGTTAATTTTCGTTCTCTCCGCTGACTCGACTACCCCAGGCTCACATTTATAGTAAGTTTGCTCTTTCAGCGGTGCTGCCCGTCAGAACGATCTTCCCGGCCCTATCTAATGTCGTCCCAGGTCACATCAAGCATGCCAGCCCAGTACTTCAGCAAGAAGCGCGGTCTGGCCAACGGGGTCGTTTTTGCTGGCGGTGGCTTTGGTGGGGCCGTTCTCAGCTTGGTATTAGATCCACTGATACGAATGTCTGGTTTGGCGTGGGCTTTTCGAACTCTTGGCCTTGCCACGCTGGTCACCGGGTTGCCTGCCGCCTGGTTCCTGAAAGAACGCACGGCGGCACGCAGAGGCGGACTTGTTGAATGGTATGCTCCTCGATGATAAATTTCTTTTTTCCCCTGCCCCCTCCCCCCCAGTCTAGCTGCTGACCGATCTTGAGGCGTTTATTCAGAGACCCCAGTTTCATCTTCATTTTTCTCGCAGGAGCTATAGGGACCTTCCCTCTGCTGGTGCCTCCGTTCTTTATCCCCCTGTTCGCTCATGCTATCGGTCTGAGCTCTGCCACGGGAGCTGGTCTCCTGGCCGGCTTTAACTTCTCATCAGCGATAGGAAGGATCTTCAGCGGCATCTTGTGTGACAAAATCGGCCCTTTAAATGCCCTATTTCTCGCGCTGAGCCTTTCGGCCATTAGCATGCTGGCCGTCTGGCCGGTGTCTACGACGCTCGCCCCATTGGCGATATTCAGCGTCGTGAATGGGTTGGCGAACGGAGGGTTTTTCTCAACCATGCCAACGGTTGTGGGCAACTGTTTCGGTTCGAGCCGGGTTGCAGTTGCCATGGGTATGATCGTGACAAGCTGGTCAGGGGGCTATCTCCTGGTAAGATACAGAAAATCTGCTTCAGGAAGTCATCGTTCTTTAACTTACATAATTACAGGGAGCCCCTATTGCGGGATACTTGCTTGATGCCCACGGCGGCGAGGATGCGGGTTTCCAAGCTTATCGTCCGGCCATGTTTTATGCCGGCTCGCTGGCTCTGGGCGCCGCGAGTTTGGTTGAAGTTACTCGCTTTTGTTCCAATAAAAGCCTCTTCGCTAAGATCTGAAGGGGGCTGTTGTCCCAGGGATAGATAAGAATATTCCGTTCAGACGTAGTGCCATGCCGGGAATATCTTGGTGTCTCTAAACAACACGCTTGATGTATATAGCTGGATGTGGACTTAGTCCTCCCCTCCCGTAGGACAGCAATTATAAAGTACCCAGATTATCTTGATCTTCTATCCCCGGTATTCGTGTTCCATTTCTTCAAATATTCGGTGCTTGGGGCTTGGGCTTTCCTGATCTCGTTAGCCGCCGCTCGTTTGAACTTCGTATTTCGTCGGAAATGCTAAAGTAGCCGTGATGGATCTTGTAAGTCTCGTATGTCGGCTTCTCCTGAATCAGTGACCTGGTTGCCCAAAGTTAGCAAGTTCAGAAGTCCCCTTTTTGAAATCCAAAGTTAACAAATTAGTCCAAAGTCCCATACGTAAACAACGCGCAGGTACACGATGATACGCCACAAGCCTAGCAGCGGCGAGAACGTGTTGTTCGGACGACAAGAGTCGATACTAGTTCTAAATAGTCACTACACGCCTGTTCATGTAGGCATAGATACAAAGGCTAACTTAGACTAACACAAAAGATCGGACGAAAATAACATCCTCATACCACAGCGGAGGGCGATCACAGGCAGCAAGATCAAGCAGCATCATCCCATGCAATGCGGCAGTGAAGGGGCACGACAATACATATCTTGGCAAAAGGGCATCATGCATGGTTCAAACACTAAAGAATAGACAGCAAAGAACATCCCACACAGATTCCACACAGGGCAAAAAGACCAAGAAACAAAAAAGATAAACCCCCCAAAAACAACAAACCCGAAAAAAAAGGGGAGCGAAAAAAAAATTGCACCAGCCGGGACTTGCACCCGGGTCCTTTCCTTCCATAAGCCCCGGAGAGAGAGAATGGGAGGGAAACGAGTTAACTTCTACTCCACTGATGCCTCCTCGAGGTTTCTTGTTGGGTGTCCCGTGCCAATATTTGCTTTTATGTACCTACCGTTGCGTTGCGTTGCGTTGCCCCGGCCACAGACGGGAGGCGCTGGCCGGTCGTCCCGCCTTCTTTCGACTTCGGGTGGGGCCCGGAGACGGTGTTTTTGTCTTATGTAAAGTTATTCTGTGTGAGTTAAGGCCGGCATGCAGATGTGCAGGACTGAGTCCGGGCCGTCTTCCTTCCTACTCTGCTTGTCTTAGGGGGGCGTCTTTCATCTCGTGCTGAACAGTGAACTTGATGTATCGTTTGCAGTTCTGACCCGTGACTCAACGCCGCCGGTAGGAGAAGGGGAGTGTCCGTCATGTTGGAGGCGGATCAGATATCCTTAATGTAGTTACATGAGGGTAACTCCTGGAACTCCTAGGGGACGTGTTCACTTGCGGCACCGATAAGCACAAACGCCTCCTTACTTGATGAGGCTCGCGGTCGGTTATCAGAGCTATTTCAAGACAAAAAGAACATAGTAAATCTAGCTCCCGGGCGGTGAACATATCACGGCGGTTGCCTATATCCCTAAATATCGACCACAGCAACACAGGTTCAGAGACCACCAGCATCTGAGGTTTCAGCCCTACGATCAAACTCCCCCAAGGAAAAATAATTTAACAAGTCTCTGAGCTTGGTCCTATGCGTATTCACCAACCATGTTGCTCTACTGTAGTTATAGATAATAAACTCGCGCCCAAGTGAACAATACAGCAAATCTTTGTTGCTCTCGCTCTCTATGGACATATTTACAGTAAAAGCAGCCCCGCTCTATATAACACAAATGCGACGGGGTAGCGCCCGACGGCTGGCTCGATTATTCTCATAAGGTTCTCCAGATCTGGTACTCTCCAGCATATTGTCATGCCACACATCTAATGGGCAAGGATTTGCTCGCAGCATACATAGACTATATATGCCGCCGCGCCTACAAAAAAGGGCACGATATAGGTGCTGGGCAAAACGTGCCCCCTTAACTAATCATAGACATAGTCCGTGTCCTGTCGTGCCTCGTCAAGTCGTGTTAGGTATCTAGCTCTCATGATCCCGTAAGCTTCTTCCACCAGCTGCTTCGGGGTGTATCCGTGAAGAATGATTCCCGTGGTCCTTTTTCTCCACTGCTGTCTGACCTACCGACACGGCGGTCTCGGCGTTCCCGCTCATCTCGGCGTTCTCGTTCTTCTCGTCGCGCCCTCCTTCGTCGCTGATCGTCATCATACTCTTTATTCATTTCGTCATACTTTTCCCGCCGCCGTCGTTCAGCTCGTCGGGCAGCACGCCGGGCATCCTCGTCATCCATGGCTCGCGGGGCATCCGCCATTAGCATGTCGTCGGCAGGAGGGCCCGGCTCCGAATGATCCTTGACCCACGAACTCGTGCCCGAATGTGGCCAAGTTGGTGTCTTTTTGCGGCGCTGTTCGTCGTCTGTGTATCTCGAAGACCTTTCTTTGGCGTACCCGTAATCATCCACGGGCACAGACTGGTGTCGACTTGCCCTTCCGGCTCGCCTGGCCTCACGTCTTCGTCGGCGTTCCTCTTCGTCTGCCGAATCTTCTGGGTACTGTGAACGTCGCCGCTCAGCGCGGGCAGCCCGACGGACTTCAGCTTCAGCTTCAAGCTCAGCTGCAGCTGCAGCTTCTTTTTCTAGCCTGCGGCGACGACGACGTTCTGCTCGCTCGGCCTCTTTTGCTTCGGCCTCTTCATGCGCAAGCCGCTGCGCTTCACGCTCTCGTGCTGCCCTACGCTCCGCTCGTCGGGCCTCGCGCTCCTCTTGTCTACGCAGTTCTTCTAGTTCTTCCTCTTGACGCCTTCGCCTTTCGCGACGAGCTTCTTTTGCACGATGAGCCTCTTCTTCAGCACGCTGGGCCTCTTCGATCTTTTCTTGTTCTCTTTTTGCTCGGCGGGCAGCGCGCCGGGCTTCGCGATCACGATCAAGGTCAACGTCTGGCTCAAAACTACTCGGTCTTCGCATAGGCCTGGCTCTCTTGTCAGGTCTTCCCTCGTCGTCAGTTGGATGATATGTACTTCGACGGCGGGGCTCGGGGCGAGGTTCAGAGCGAGGATTTGAGTGCATCAGACCACCAAAAAGACCAGAGATACCCTTTTTGGCATTCGAGCTAGATCGCTTCATAGGCGTCACATTCGGAGGGCCCCTTGTCTCTGCCATAACGATATCATCGTCCGGTTTAGGCTGTTTTGGGTCAGCAAGGATTAGTCCGGAACTGTACTGGCACCTTACCTTTGATCTTTTGCGCACTGGTTTATCGGGGCTTGAGGCAAGATCGTAGGCCCTGCCCATGGCTATATCGTCATCCATTGGGGCAGCGGCGTATGTTCTCGAGGTTCTCTGGCTGCGGCTTTTATCCACTCCAAGAAACCGTGCCGCCTTTGGAGCCATCTCATGCACCTCTTCGGGCGGAGGCGATACCAGTCCACCGCTCATCTCGACGGAGTGGCGCCTTGAGGTGGATTTTCCCGTGACTTTATTGCGTGTTGACATGGAGCGAGAAATGGGGGGCGTGCTTTGAAACACACTGCTCATACGAGGCGCCGGAATCGGCATTGGCTTGTCATCTTGTTGTTGCTCTGCTTTTTCAGAACCTGAACTCTTGGAAGATGATTTCTCTCCTCTCTCTTTGCTTGTCTTCTTAGAGTCAGACCAGGACCTCGATGACATCCTCTCTTCCCTATGTGGTGCGGTTGGGGCCGACCACATACCCCGTGGTGCGCCCCCATCACGATTAATTTTGACTCGTTCTTTTCTGGACGACTTGACCTCGGGTGACGATGGTGTCGTGGAATCGTCCGGCGAATCGGGCGCCGCTGGCGGTGGAGGAGGTGCGGCAGGTGGCACAGGGGAAAGGATCTCATCCCTGAATTTCTTCTTGCTCTTCTTCGGGGTCTTTTCTACCGGTGGTGAGGATTCGACAATTTGGACAATTTCATCTTCATCTCTATATCCATGGTCCATGTCGTCATGTAGTAGGCTTCTGTCTGATCCCCGTTCTTCAAGCGCCATATGCGCCATATCGACGGTCTCGTTCATCTCATCTATATCTTTACCATCAAGAGATTCATCATCACGGTCATCGTCGGACATTGGAAAACCGCCAGGGATAATCTCCTTGCTTATCTGGGGTGAGTTGATTTCCATACCCCCTTGGGACCGTGGGGGGCTGGAGGGCAGTGGGGGCGATGGTGCTTCAGGAAGTACATCGATTAAATCAGCTTGGGAATCATCGTGTGTCGCAGGCTCAAACTTCTTGAGCTTCTCGGCAAGCTTGCTACCTTTGGTTTTCTTCGGTATCCGATCCTCATCAAGTGCTTCAGAGTAAGGGGACTTAGCCGTACCGATAGTGACATCTTCTGGAGGCTTAGGCGACTCAGAAATGCCAAACTTTGTTGCCACTGGGTGTCGTGGCTGGGATGTGAATATCATTCCAGGGGGTGGGCTTTTCAGAATATTCTTAGCGCCCCAGAATGAGAAAGGGTTGTTGCCTCTGGGCTTCGCTGGCGGCGGTAGGTCTGAAAGGATCTCATCAGCCTGCTCGGCTGTCAGATCCACGTCGTCGAGGTCCAAGTCATCGTCATAATTATTCCCATCCTCGTAGTCAAGCCCGGATATTGTGTCGTCGGCTACCATAGCATCCTCGACTTCCTCTCGTTCGCGCTCAGCTCGCTCCTTAGCCTCACGTATAGCTTGAGCGGCTTGTTCCGCTTCGCGTGCAGCTTGCTCCTCTGCCTCGCGTGCAGCTTGTTCTTCTGCCTCGCGTGCAGCTTGCTCCTCAACATCGTTTCGAGTCTCCACAGAGGCAGCACGAGCACCGATCTTCTGGTTAAGCTTATAGAATCGCTCTTGGTCCTTCGTAGAGAGCTTTTTCTTCTTTTTGAGTTTGGCCTTGAGACTCTCGAGTTCTGCATTCTCTTCGACCTCCGCCGCCTTTCGTGCAGCCTCTTCTTTGGCTTTGATTTTAGCTTGTTCCTCTGCCTTACGTGCCGCTCGTTCCTCTGCTTTACGCGCAGCCCGTTCCTCCGCTTCGCGTGCAGCCCGTTCCTCTTCTTCGCGTGCAGCCTGTTCCTCTGCTTCGCGTGCAGCCTGTTCCTCTGCTTCTCGTGCAGCCTGTTCCTCTGCTTCGCGTGCGGCCCGTTCCTCCGCTTTACGTGCGGCCCGTTCCTCCGCTTTACGTGCAGCCCGTTCCTCCGCCTCACGCGCGGCCTTCTCTTCAGCCTTGCGAACGGCCTCTTCCGCTTCGCGTATAGCTAATTGTTCGTCCTCGAGGGCAGCTAAATCTTCGGCCTCGGGTGCAGCTGGATCTTCGACCGTCTCCTGTGCGATTGGGTCATCCCCTCCATTAGTATATGTCATAGTTGCCCGGGCGTTGATCCTCTCGATAAGCTCGTCAAATCGCTCTTGTTCCCGCATAGTGATTTTTTTCTTCTTCTTGCTAAATTTGATCTTAAGAGCCTCGAGCTCCGCATCTTCTGCGTCTTCCTCTGCCTTACGGGCCATTGCTTCGGCCTCCTCGCGCTCGGTTTGCTCCTCCACCTTGGAAGTACTTTGCTCTTCTATTTCGGGAGCGGCGTGTTCGTCCGTTGTAGCCGGTGTGGTCTCTTCATCGGGAACGGTAGTGGTGGCTACACGAGAATTGATCTTTTTCTTAAGCATGTTGAATCGTACTTGGTCTTTTGAAGAGAGTTTTTTCTTCTTTTCGAACTTGGCCGTAAATTGCCCAAATTCTGCATCTTCCAAATCCTCTTCTTTCTTGCGGGCAGCTTCTGCCTCTGCCTCTGCCTCTGCATTGGCTCTGGCTTGTTCGATTTCACGCGCGCGCGCATCCTGTTCGTCGATTTCATGAGCGGCTTGTTCTACTCGGTGAACATCCAGCTCTTCAGTCTCATGTGTGGCTGGCTCTTCGATCTCCTGTACGGTTTGCGCATCCCCGCCGTCGTCATGTATAACAGGCA